GAGAGATGACGTTTAGTATTTTTTTCATGCATTTGATGCTAGAAAAGCTAGAACGACTGCTCTAATTTACGTTTATTTTTTGTTTTGAAAAAACTCAGAACAAGTGTGATACGAGAAGGAACGGTTTAATTTACGTTTGCTTTAATAAAAGTTTTTTTCAATATTAAGAGAATAAAGTAGGGTTATAAATTAATTATAATAGATAGAACCTTTTTGTGAGTTGTTAGATAAAAAGTGTTGAGTCTATTTTACCAAAAAAAAAAGTGTTGAGTCTAATAAACTGTTGAGTCTGTAGGTTGGCGGAGATGTTCTTATTGACCACGTGATAAAGGTTCCACATTCTTCACTCTTTTTCCTGTGGATATCCAATTTTCTATGGTGTGCACAATACTGAAACATGGGAATTTTTATATAAACGGTCTAAAGTTTTGAGTTCTAATTTCCGAATGGATAACAAAAAAAAAAAACTATTTGTAACGTTTGGGGTCAATTGTACGAAGACAAGAACCCTAGATGATATATCCTTTTTATGGTTAAAGCTTGCCAATTGTGTTTACTATCTCTGTGTTTAGATTAATTTGAGTTGGAATTTTCGGTTCACACAAAATAGGATCCACAATAAAATATATAATCTAATCTATATATTTCATTTTTGTATGGTTTTAGTTTCGATTCGTGTTTGAGTTTAAATTCCAAATATATCTTTAATTTTCAAATAAGTTTTCGTATCAAATCATTTTTTTTTGTTAGGCTAAAATCGGCATATGATGTTCTTGGTTTTTAACCGTTTTGACCCTCATATTTTCATAATTTCTTTGTGTTTATTTTGGTTTTTCATTGAGTTTATAATGCATTTAGAGTTTGAGATTTGTTGCATTTTAGAGTCCTAAGATGTATTTGTCTCTTTTGGTGTGTTTAATTTGTATTTGTCGTTTGTGACAAAAAAAAAAAATTGTTTTGGGTCATTTTTAATCTCTACTATTTCGTACGTATGCTTTTATTTCCCAATTTCTATATCTAGCCAAATTCAACATAATCAAATACGTACTTATTCAAATTTCCTACATTAACTTTAATACTTGACTATACAAAATCAATTTTGGAGAAAAGCAAAACAAGTTTCAGAAACAAAAAGGAGTTTACATAGAAAACTTATATATAAAGCTAAACTAGATTGCATAACCAAATTGAACCAAACCATAATTAATCAACGATCACATGAATTTTAGTTATAAATCCACCCAATTTCATTATTAATAAACTATGGTGAACGTTTAATTTGCATATACGTTATTTATCGTAATACAACTCAGTTCTATGGTTCCAAATATATGCACAACGATTGCAACAAGAGTCCGACTCTGGAGTTTGGGATTGGAGTCTTAATCTTCTTTAGATTTTAACGGCCGTAAATTTTTATCAAAAGTCGCAAAGTTTTTAACGACGATGTGGTGAGGAGTTCGACTTTTTACGTCCATTTTAATAGAACTTTATAAAATTAAAAAAATCCTTAGTGTAATGGACAAAAAAGAATTATAGCCTAGGGCCTTTAAACATATATATCTTTGTTTCCTGTAATTCAGTTTACAGGCTTTAAATTAATTGTATATCACATGGAGCAAGTTGTGGTTTACGCACTAAACTATAAGACTACAACTACACATTGACATTTGACCTAACACAAAAGTCTCCGCAGAAACACATTATATACCACGAATCAGTGATTCCCTTTCTGTCTTATCTTTTTCATAAATTCTTCAATCGATAATGGATGAGCTCCACGAAGCCGCGATTGCTTACTACAACAACGGCTCCATGGAACAACAAAATTTGGCGTGGCAGTTTTTCCGGGCAATGGACATTGACGGTAATGGTCGTGTCAGCCTTCAAGAGTATACTGACTTTTTGTGTCGAACCGCCGGTTTAGCTTGGGTTCATCCCGAGATGTTCATTGAGCTAGACCGAAACGGAGACGGTCAGCTTGACTTTTGGGAGGTCTTGACGCTATACTACGTGGCTCGGACCCGGACCATTAGCTGCCGCACGTGTCGTCGGCCTCTCAATGGTTTATACTTCACGTGTGTTACGTGCTTCGATTCGCCATGTGGCGGCGACACATTTGATCTCTGCGTCAAGTGTTATATGCGTCGGACCTATAGTCATCCACATCGTCTCTTCTTGGATAGTTATGTTTTATTACGAGCTAAGCGTAGCCATCATCCTCTGGTACGTTGTCATTACTCTTTACTAATTGTATAATATAGCGGCTGTCTATAGAGGTACATAATGGCGTTTACTGCTCTGCGAAAAGTCAACATTTTATATCAATGATTATCAGAGTATATAATTATATGTGAGATTAGAAAAGTAGGACGTGCATGGTGCGAATGGAAAACAGATAATAAGTAACAAAGTAATTGAATAGTCAACGCTCTATTAGAACATGGGAAAAAAAAAAGTCTAAATCAAGCAAAAAATATACAAAAAAACATATGCAATGACATGACTCTACTCTAAACTGATGCAGCAGCCGCCTGGCGATCACATGGCTCAACAAAACCCTACCAGGGTAAACCTTTCTCACA